GTCTTTGTTTTGTAGCTCATCTGAAACCTTTCCACCATGGGTGACCCTGCTGGTTATTTAAAACACCGGTGGCATAGCCCTCAGAATCACAGCAACTCAGACCACCACAGCATGACAGACAGACGAGTGGTGGCCGTTTGGTTTTATGTCTATACTGTCTCTTTAAATTTTAATATTAGACAAATTCAATTATAAAATAAAAAATTCTAACTACAAATGTATGTGCATTTAACAATAAAGGCCCAGAACATGAAGCAAAAATGGACAGAATTGAAGGGTAAAACAGACAACCAAACAAGGAAAGTTGGAAATTTCAATACTTTCAGTAATAGAAAGAACAATTAGACAGAAAATGAACTAAGTAATACAAGACTTGAGCAAAACTATAAAACTAATGGGATCTAACAGACACCTAAGGAACATTCCACCCACCAATAGAATGCACATGCTTATCAAGCACACATAGAACAACATTCTCAAGAACAGACCAGATCCTTGGTCATACAGCACAACTCAATACATTCAAAGGATTTGAATCATACAAAATCAGTCCTGTGATCACACTGGAATTTATTAGAAATCAGTTGTTGTTGTTAAGTGCCGTCGAGTCAGTTCCGACCCATAGCAACCCTGAACAGGGTTTCCAAGGCTGTAAATCTTTACGGGAGCAGAAAGCCTCATCTTTCTCCTGCGGAACAGCTGGTAGTTTAGAACTGCTGACCTTGCAGTTCACAGCCTGATTCGTAACCACTATGCTACCAGAGCTCCTTAGCAGAAAAAAATTCAGTAATATGTGGAAATGAAACAACATGTTCCTAAATAACCCGTGCATCAAATATACTCACAAGAGAAATTTTAAAAAATACATAAAAAATTTTTTTAACTGAAAATAATAATACAGCATACTGAAACTTAGATGATGCAGCTAAAGCATCTTTTATTCAGCTGTAAGAGGGAGGAGGTACTGACGTGTGCTACAATATGAATACATGATACTGAGTGAAATAAGTCAGACACAAAAGGCTACATACTGCTTCTTCTTATAAGAAATGTCCAAAATAGGCAAGTCTGTAGCGGCAGAAGGTAGATTCCATGTTGCCAGGGACTGGAGATATGGGAAGATGGAGGTGGGGTGTCTGCTAAGGGGTACAGCGCTTCATTTTGGAGTGATGAGATTGTTTTAAAATTAAATTGTGTTGATAAGTATACAACTCTGCGAATATACTAAAGACACTGAACTGTATACCCCTAAGTGGGTGACTTGTATGGTACGTGAATTATAGACCCAAAAAAAAAACTGTTTAAAATATTACCCAGAAGGGCAGAGAAGGGTCAGGCTAAATGACCTCTATGTTTTCTTTCTAGCTGTCAAACTCAAAGCATCTAGAGGCCACTAGACCCAGTATGGTCCTGGGGTACTTTTGAACAGTGATAGGTCCCTCAGACCAGAGATGCTCCAGGAAAAAGGGATCTGATGCACAGGAGACCCGCCCGGTGATAGATCCTCACTCACCAAACACAGTGTTGAAGAGTCTGTGGGGCCCAGCCTGTGAGGCTGTGGAACACAGGGTGTTGAAGTACAGTCCCGAACCTTCCCGGATGGGGCTGAGCATGGGAGGCGGTGTGTAGGGGGGGCACTGGAACAAGCCCTTCAGGAGCTGGTCCACCAGGAACACTGGGGACCGAAGGCAGCTTGGGTGGTGGCCTCCCGGGACCTGCTCGGCAAACGCTGAGGGTGGAGCAGGGAGGACCAGTGCCTTGGGCTGGGGGCGCTTCTTCTGCTTTCTGTACTGGCTGCTCTCCTTGCTCTCCTCACTGTCTTTCTCTTGGCCCTGGGGGAGGAGAGCGCTCAGAATCACCGGTGGCTTAACAGCCTCAGAACACACTGCTCTGATTCCACAGATGGTGCGCCAGAGGGGTGAGGGGCTCTGGCTGTGGAGATGGGGAGAAATCTGACCCACATAGCAGAGATGCAGTGGGAGTGAGTCTGCCAAAATGGCAACAGCTGCAGGGAGACCAAGGACAATGGGACTGGCTCAGGGACTCTAGTGACCTTCAGGTCCACACACCCTGTCTCAGGCTATGAGCCTGTCTAGGGGGCTGAGGGTGGGTCCCTCCAGGATGGGCTCAAGAGACAAGTGTTCACCTCCCATCTGCCAGCCTCCCCACTTCTCTTCCTCTAGGTCTCAGCTCTGACATCCCCTCCTGCAGGACGCCCTCCCTGATCTATTCAGGCTGGGCTAGGTGGCCCTCTGAGTTCTCCCAACTTCCCCACTCGAGGACATCTCTGTCTGAGGATCTGTGTCACCCACTGAACTGGGAACCCTGAGAGGGCAGGGCCAGGTTGTGTTCCCAGCACTGACCAGCACAGGTCCAGCACAAAGGAGACTCCGTGAATGTGGATGGAATGAATGGATGTAAGCATGAGTAAACCACCTGCTGGAGTCAGATTTGTGTAGCTGTGTGGTTTGGGTTTTCCTGGTATGGTGCTGTAGGATAAGCACTGGACTGCTAACCACAAAGTCTGTGGTCCAAACCTACAAGTCACTCCTTGGAAACGCTATACAGGATCAGTATGGGCTGGAACCAACTCGATGGAGCTTAACAACAACAACTATAGCTTCCACCAGCAGGTGGCAACAGAGGGAGAAGTAGCCACACCCACCTTGGCAGCATCCACTGGGGGCTGAGTCCCAGGGATCACAGGTACCGACACTGGCACCATCAAGGGGGCTGCTGCCGTGCTGTCCATGGGTTTCTTGGCTCCAGGGGGGCTCTGCCCATCCCCATGTGTCCTCAGCATCTGTCTTGGTGGCTTGCAAAATTCTGAGGCACCAAACGCCTAGACATGGAGAACAGGCTCTTAAAGAGAAACTAACCACCAACAGGTGCTTTGGTGGCGCAGTAAGGTTGGTGCTTCAACTCCCCACCCCCCAGCTACTCTGCAGGAGGTGCTCTGTGGGGTTTCAGCGGAAGTAGACTGGCAGGTCTGTCTTCTGAGGTACCACGGAGGGAACTCAAACCCCTCATCTTCCTGTTAGCAGCCAAGCGTGTTAGCCATTTGCACCACCCCGAGCCTCATAAGAAACAACTGCTGAGAAAAGAAGATCTGCTCTACAAGACGGCTAGAAAAGCTGTGCCAAACCTCAGTCGGGGCGCTGCTGCTAGTCTGTGGCAGGAGCCAAGCTGAACCCATGCATCCCCTAAATGTTGCCTTCATCCTGAGATGACTGTCCCCAAAGAACCTGCTGTCCATGCCCCTTCACCTGCTGCTCCTGTTTGCCACGTGGTGATGGCCACTGGTCACTGCGAAAACACATGTGGCTGCTCAGGCCCTTCTCTGTATAGAACATCTGGCTGCAGTTCTTGCAGACGTAAGTGTTCCTGGGCTCTGTCCAGTCAGCAGGACCGCCGTTTTGCTGGTTACTGTGGGGAGATGTAGCAGATGTGGGAAATGGTGGGATGGGACTCTGTCCTCAATCACCAGGATCTTGGCTGTTTGAAGTCTGGTCCCCTGACAACTCTTGATGAACCCTGAGAAATGCAGATCCCCAGCTCTCCGTGGCCCAACCCATGCTCACTCCCCAGGGCCCACGCAGGATGCAGGAAAACCACAGGGGACTTCACTTACCACCCACCCGCCATGCTTTCCTCCTTCACGGGGTGAGGGAGCCTGTAGATGTTCCCGCCCTGAGGAAGAGAGAACAAGGGAGCCAACGTGCAGAAAGAGAATGGACGCGTAAAGTGATCACACTCCTAGGAGCCAACACTGGGGTGGGTCCTGTGACTGAGGATCAGACAATGACTTCTTAGCTGCCATAAGTCATGTGCACACACACACACACACACACAAGACAAATTGGACTGCATCAAAATTCAAAACGTTTGTGCTTCAAAGAACACCAGCAAGACAGTGAGAAGTCAAGGTACAGAAGGGGAGAGAAATTTTGCAAATCCTGAAGGAGTCCTGGGGGCACAACCATTAAGAACTTGGCTGCTAGCCCAAAGGTTGGTGGTTCAAACCCAACTCGGTGGTTACATGGAAGAAAGACCTGGCAATCTGCATCCGTAAAAATTACAGCCAAGAAAACTCTATGGGGCCCTTCTACTCTGTCACATGGGGTAGTTATGAGTCGAAAGCCTATTGGAGGGCAGCCAGCAACAACACATCTTATAAAGGATTTATATCCAGAATATATAAAGAACTTTTATCAAACCAAACCCCTTGTCATAGACTCGATTCTGTAGGACAAAGTCAAACTGCACCATAGGGTTTCCACAGCTAGAAATCATTATGGAAATACACTGCCACATTTTGCTCCCTCCGAGCAGTTAGTGGATTCAAACCACTGACCTGTCACCAAGTGCTTAACCAGGGCTCCTTAAACTGTAAGACCAATAAGAGTGAACTCTGGCCCTGCCTTGGTCAAAACCATAACTTCAGCACCTAGAACAGAACTCACTATTGTAGTTAAGTGCTGTTGAGTCAGTTCTGACTCCTATAGACCCTGTATAGCATTTCTGAGGAGCAGCTGGTGGGTTTGAACCATCAACCTTGAGGTTAGCAGTTCAGTGCCACACCAGGACTCTAGGAGAGAGCTTACTGTTGTTAAACACCATCGAGTCTGTTCTGACTCACATTTCCAAAGAATAGCTGGTGAATTTGAACTGCCAACCTTGCAGTTCAAACAGATCTTGCAGTCCAGTGCTTATCCTGCAGTGCCACACCAGGACTTCAGAACAGAGCTTAGCACACAGCAAATCAAACAAACCCATTGCTGACTCAGAGCAACCCTGCAGGACTGAGCAGAACTGCCTTATAAGATCTCTAAGACCACCTTCACGGGAGCAGACAGCTAGTGGGTTTGAACTACCACCTTTCATTTAGCAACTGAGAGCTTAATTGCTGCGCCAGCCGGGTATCTTAGCAATGTTAAAAGTCAAGCCAAACCCATGCCACATAGCGATCCTCTATGTCAGGTGAACCGCTCCATAGGATTTCCAAAACTGCAGATCTTTATGAAAGCAGACTGCCACAGCTTTCTCCTGAGGAGAGCCTGGTAGGTTTGAACCTCTAACTTTTCGGCTAGCGGCCAAGCGCTTAACCCATTGTGCCACCAGGGCTCCATAATAAATGCTAAAATTAGCAACAATTCAACGCTAGTCCCGCTCGGGCTCGGGCCAGCCCTCCCACTCACCCCGACCCCCAGGGCCCGTGTACCTGGATTCTGTTGAATATGGTCAGCTTGGACTTGGCGTCCTGTGGGGGGTCTGCCGGGGGCCCAGATGACGAGAAGGAGGCCATGGCCACCTGGCTGGGTGATGCTGTACAGCACATGTCCATTTTCACCTTCTCCTTACGGAAGCCCGAGAAGCGTTGGCCCCTGGGGTGGCTGGAGAAAAGCCTATAGCCTGTACCCCGGGAGCAGGCTGGGCCCTTGTCACCTCTGGTGACCCCTGAGGTTGTACCATTCTCGGCCTGGACCTGCTTCCCAGGGAGCTGGGAGCCAGATGCCTCGTCACCCATAGGCTGACTTTGCCGTGGGCATGAGGGGGAGACGATGTCCCCCAGGTCCAAGGCCCCTTTCGCAGATCGTAGCTGCTTGGCAAGAGAGGAGACGTCTGGGTTGGCAGAAGGGTCCAGAGCTGAGGACACTAGGGTCGGCTGGACGGTGGTCACCTTTGGCCCTCCCTTGGCCTCCCGCCGCGTGTTACCAGCACCAACAGGGGAGGCGGCTTCCCGGGGAAAGGCAGCCATAGTCTTCCTCCTGCGGGCAGGGGACCCCTCTGGCTCAGGGTTCCCAGGGCCAGCGTGGAGCGAGTCCACAGCGGACTGCTGTGGCCATGGCCCGGATAGTGGCTTCAGGGCAGCTGACTTGGTCTCCGGCCCAGGGAGCTGGGTGGCAGGGGCAGCTACTGGGGCATGGGAGAAGATGCGCTGTGACTTGGTGATCATCTGGAACACTTGCATCTGCTCATGGCTCACCACAGACTCCTGTGACTTCAGGAATAGCTGCCGGAAGAGCGGTGTGACCTCTGCTGGGAGTCCACTGGCTTTCTGGGCGTCCTGGGGGCTGGGATCCCCAGGACTCTGCCAAGACATGGACTCGCTGGCCCCCTCCAGTTTGCTCTTCTTAGAGGCCCAGGCGTTTTCTTCCCCGCTGGTGCCCCTGGTATCATTCTGAGCAGGACAGGGCGTCCTATCCTCCAGCCCCGTGCCTGAACAAGCCAATGCCTCCAGGCCAGGGGAGGTACCACAGGGCCCTGGACCTGATTCGGAGCCCTCCCGGGCAGGTGCTGTGGGGGGCTTGTGTACCATGAACATGCTGTTTCCTTTGTTCTTGGGGCCACCGGGCAGGTTCCGGAGCCACTGGAAGTTAGGGCCAGGTGGCTGGGAGCTAGTGGGGCCAGTCTGACTGCGGAACAGAGGCAGGCGGGCAGATAGGGTCCCTGCATCAGGCCAGCCCTCCACAGTGGCAGGGAGCTGGAGAACAGGAAGCTCTGGTTCAGGGGCCTCAGGGACCCCATTCTCCCCTACCCTCTGGTGGAAGCCTGTGAAGCTGTCCATGCCAATGAGTTCTTTGCGTGGGGGGCGAGGTTCCTCGGGACCCTCCACACCAGGGCCTACCGGGATGCAGGCAGACGAAGCAGATGACCCGGAGGAGGCTGGGCAGGGGCCAGCGGCCCCCCTGGCCTCAGGGTCTGAGAGCGCCCCTGGGACTGGGCTGGTGGTTGGCACCTTCTGGTGCACGATGCTGCTCACAAGGCAGCGCAGGAGGTCCCGGTTGGGCAGCAGCGAGCTAGGGGACCTGGCTTCTGGGGGCACCAGGGCCCGTAGGCCACCTGTAGGTGCCTCATGGCCATGGGGGGAGTCCCCACAGGGCTCCTCTTCCAGGGGGGCCTCCTTCAGGATGCAGAGACCATGCTGCACCTCATAGTGGCGGCGCAGCGAGCGGTAGTCACAGTAGCTCTTACTGCAACCTTGTTCTATGCACACGAAGGGCTTGGTCTTCTGGTGAGTAAGCATGTGCCCTGTCCTGCAGTCAGACAAGGGAGGGGGTCAGCAGTGCCTCTGTGGGGCCCCACATGTCCCCAAATACACACACCACAGCCCCTAAATGGGACAGACTTCCAAGTAGCCAGCCCTCAGCCAGGGCATTCCTCTCCCTCCCCTCGCCTCAAAACACACCCCTCTCTGACTAAGTCAATGGAAACCAGGCCTAAGTTTTCCAAGGTGGGTTCTCAAGCACTTCTGGTCTCCAGAGCTGTGCTCCCCCTGCCCCTGCCGACCCAGAGGACTCCATCTCCATGACCAAACATGTTATGAAAACCCTCTTTGCTCCTCAGTGGTATGCCATGCACATGAGCACATACAGAACCACACGCCAGAGACAACGCACACCTGTGCCATGTTACCTCCCTGATGCCTGTAGAACAGTTTCTGCAAACATCTCCTATGCTCATCCCTCAGAACTAGGGTCCTGCAGGTGACAATTTAAAAAATAAACCTCTCGCCAGCAAGTTGGTTCTTGCTTATGGAGACCCAGGTGTTATGTTGAGGAAACACCAATGGAGACATCATACTTCAAGGAGTCCACATCTCACCATGGGATACCATCAATAGAGAAACACGCTAACTCCACCCCCAAAGCACAGAAACTAGTTTGCAGATTTCTAATCAATAAAAACATTTCTAGAAAACAGCCAAGTGTTTCTAGAAAAACATGCCAAGCATGTCAGCAAATATAAATAAATATAAACACAAGTTACATTTATATAGATACTATTGTTGTTGGTGGGGTCCTGATGTGGCGCTGTGGGCTAACGCGTCAGATTGCAAAGTTGTTTGAACTGCAAGGTTGGTGGTTCAAGCTGCGAGCTGCTCCTTGGGAACGCTATACAGGGTCACTATGGGTCAGAATTGACTTGACGGCACTTAACAATAACAACATTGCTGTTGTTAGGTGCTGTCAATACTGAACTCACATAGATAGAGCCCATGAGACAGAGCAGGACGGTCCCACTGGGTTTCCTAGAATGTCAATTTTGAGAGCAGATGGCCCCATCTTTCTCCTGTGGAGTCACTGGGTGGGTTCAAACCACCGAACTTTCAGTTAGCAGGAGAGCACTTAATGATTGCACCAACTCTTATCTATCAATATGAGTATCCTAGATTAAGTGCATGAGTAAATCACCACTCTGGGTTCCTAACTGTCCTGCTGCATGGACAATTCTAGTAAACATGGCACACATGGCATGCCCAGGGAATAATAAAACCCTACCATGGGAGGAAGCAGTCCTGGTGTGGCGCTGTGGGTTAATGCGCCAGACTGCAAAGCTGTTTGAACTGGTTCAAGCTCACCAGCTGCTCCTCAGAAACCCTACACAGGGTCGCTATGGGTCGGAATCGACTCGACAGCACTTCACAACAACAGCAATGGGAGGGAAGCCAGAGAATTGTTCTTCCTGTTGTTAATTATCATTACATCGATCCCAACCTGTGATGACCTCTTTTGTGTAAGAACAGAACTGCTCCATGGGTTTTTAAGGCTGTGGCCTTTTGGAAGCAGATCACCAGACCTGGCTTCTGAGGTGCCTCTGGCTGGGTTTGAACCGCCGACCTTTCAGTCAGTAGTTAAGTGTATAACGTTTTTTTTTTTTTTCAATGTTTTATTGTGAATTATGTGATAGTTTACATGGGAGAACATTAGTTTTACATTCATCCTATCCTATCGTATGTCCTTTCATTGCCATGGTTACAATCCCCTCCATGCATCATCAAGTAACCAAAGGGTATACTCTGCAAGCCTGTCCCCTTGGTTGTCAGCACAAAGTCCCTCTCCTTCTCCGGGTCTAAAGTCCCCAGATTCTCCATCTGTCCAAGTCATCATCTCTGTCTCCATCTCTGGCATCAATGCTTCTCTGGGTAGGGTCCTGCTCTCCGCTCTTCTCCCTTAATGGTCCCAGGGACCTCCGCTCCTAGACTGAAAAGTCAATCACTCCCCTCCTTGCTACAAAATGTCTGCCTTTACATTTCCAACCCTCACAATCAGTCCTGAAAACAATTATTCACTATTGTATCATAAGAGACCTATCCCCATTTCCTTTCATCAGCCCCACCAAGACAGATTGGATATTATTACTCAGTGGAGATTCTACCTTCCTCCATGCCCTCTGTTATCTAGGTTCCCTCTTAAAAGCTTGTAAGCCAGTCACTTCCTGCCTTTGTAGCAGCCCCCATTTTGGGTAGCTAATGTCCAAGTTGCCCATCCCTGTCTATTCTGTGTATGGAGGGGGTGGAATGATCCTTGCTGTAAAGATTTGTTCCCTCTTTTGAGCTACTGCATCCATAGGTGTAGGTCAAGTTCATCAAATTGTATCTGATTACTCTTTTTTTTCCTCTTCTTTCTTCTTCTAGTTGAGCTCTGATCATCCAGTCATTGAAGCCAGGTCAAGCGGGTACTATCTGCCTCCCCTGGGACAGCCGGTGAGTTTGAACTGCTGACCCTGAGGTTACCAGCCTAACGCTTACCCCACCATACCTAGGAGAACTAAATTCTAGCCCTAACTCTATTACAGAGTTCACTTGAGTAAATCCCTTCCTTGCCTTGGGGTCGGGTGAGGGAAAGGGGAACAGAAGGGTCAATGGGAGCCCTCTGGGTAATGCCAGGAGCTCTATGAAGGGGCCAGGAACTGTCACCTCCCACAGGCAAGTCTATTTTGAAAAAAAGTCTGCCTTCCCTTCCCTCATAGCAGGAAAAGCTTATTATTTCAGAGACATTAAGAACAAAAGGAACTGAACTCTTATAATAGGCTTCATGTGGAAAATCAAAAGGTTGAAAAAAAAGGGGGGAGTAGTTAAAAAAGAAAAAAACCACCTCATTAATGCTCTGGAAACAAAGAGAGTCTTCCAGTCTTTCAAGTTCCAAGGTATTCTGCTACAAAGTCTCCCTGCAATGCAGATCTGTGTTCCCCAGGCCCAGGCCCAAACAAAAAAACAAGCCTGCTGCCACGGAGTCAGTTCAACTCAGAACACCACTTCAGGGCAGAAGGGCAATGCCCAAGGCTTTCAGGCCCTCATTTCCCACCTGAAGGCTGCCCTTGAGCGCAGGTGGAAGCACTGGAAAGAGTTTATGCAACATCAGCCGCAGTTAGGGGCTCTGGACACAACCCAAACCAAACACCAAACGCGATGCCTTCAAGTTGGTTCTGACTCCTAAGGTTTGAGTCACAGACCTTTCTGTTAGTAGCCAAGCTCTTAACTGCTGCACCACCAGCGTTCCTTAATAAATGCCAAAACCCAAACGAAGCCTACTGCCATTGAGCCAATTCCACTCAGAGCAACGCTCTATGGCAAAGCCGAACTGTCCCGCAGGATTTCGGAGGCTGTCATCTCTACAGAAACAGACTGTCACCTCTCACCTCCCTGGAGCAGCTGGTGGGTTCCAATCACTGACCTTTCCATTTGCAGCTAAGCATTCAACCAGTGTGTCACCAGGACTGCCTTGAGCCCTCCACCAGGGGCCTGGCATACTCCTCTGTAAATGAGCCCAATTCCCTCACATGCAAAGTGCCCCTGGGAACCACAGTTGTGAATCTCTCACTGGTGTGAATTTGGGATGGCCTTTGGTGAGGGGGTGCTGAACCTGCCCACTGAGCACTGGCAGTATGAGGAAAAGAGACTCCTTCAAAGCAGGGGTGGCACACACTGGGTGGGGGAGCAGGAAGTAGGAAGAGAGGAGGGGCAGGTGGACCAGTGAGGTGTGAAGGAAATATAAAAAGAGGGATGGGGACACAGGCACAGGCCCCCGCCCCAGTCTACCCCCCAACAGACTTCCTCCTGACCAGACTCCAACATACAGGTGGTCCTGGCGCTTAAAGGCCTTGCTGCAGATTTTGCAAATGTGTTTCCGCTCCTGGCTGTGCGTCAGGTAGTGCTTGCTAAGTGAACTGGCGCTGCTGAACACTTTCCCACAGAGGCTGCAGTCCAGGAGTGGGCTCTGAGGGGAGCTGTGCTGCCGCTTGCCTCTCCTGGTACTCCCAGAGCTGGCCCTGCCTCCTCCTTCATCAGTCTCTTTAGGCACCTTAAGTGTGCCTAGTCCTAGGTCTAAACAGAGGGAGAAAGCACAGGTTACACAGGGTGGGGGCACCAGAGAGCGCACCTAACAACGCTCTGAGCCAGGACTCACTGAGTCCAAGCTCAGCACCTTTCTTTGACTGAAGAACACACTTCCAGGGCCAAGCAGGTAAAAAGGTGGCGGGAAGGGGATGCCCTGGGACAAATGGCACCCAGTCCTGGGGTCGCAATCAGAGGATGGGTTGTGTGGGCTTCGGGCAGGGAGTCACATCATCATCGACAACTGGCACTCTTGAGCAGGCAGTCTGGAAATAGCCAATGTCCTATGAGAGCCAGCACCTGTCTGGACTGCCTTGTATCTCCGGGGCGCACAAGTGGTGTTCCACCCTTTGCAGGGTACAGCCTTACCATTGTCCTAGTACTCCTTTGAGTGGAAAACCAACCAACCAACAAACCCACTGCCATCCAATGGATCCTGACTCAGAGAGACCCTACAGGGCAGAGAAGAACTGACCCTTAGGGTTTCCAAGGCTGTAAATCTTTCTTCCTTGGAGGCGATGGTGAGTCTGAACCACCAACCTTGTTGTTAACAGCCCAGTGTTTTACCAACTGAGTCATCAGGGCGCCTTCTCGGAGTTCCCAGCTAAGAATTGCTATTCCGTTACCTACTCTCCATTGTCACTCTGCTGAATGAATGAATGAATGAATGAATGAATGAATGAATGAATGAATGCATAATGGCAGTTTTCTACCCCTTAGCCAGGTCTTCCAAGGGGATCCAACTGTTTCCATCACTGCTTATCTGCGATGCTGCAGAGTGGAGAGTCAAGAATTCAGTATGCCAGGGCATTTGGGAAGGAGGCTGTTTACACTAAAGGAGCTAGTTCTCTGTGGATTGTAAGAGGCAGTGGGACAGACACAGCGGAATGGAAACTGGACTCCCTCCCGGCCTCTAGCTCAGTGCCATTTGTTACCTAACTTGCCTGCTTTTTCCTCCTCCTCTTCCTATAGGAGATTCTTGGGACTAGCAATTGACACCAACTGTTGAAACAAGGAAAACTAGGACTCCCTTCAGGAAAAGTTCCCAGCCTCACTAAGTAACTTGAAGATGTTAACTGCAAAGCATTTGAACTGCAAGGTCAGTGGTTCAAACTCACCAGCTGCTCCTCTGAAACCCTATACAGGATCGCTATGGGTCGGAATTGATTCAACGGCACTTAACAATAAAATCACCTATATTAATTTAAGTCTCCAGAATTTTTTATCTGTATGCTGTCTGAAATGTCATACTGACAGGAAATGGAATCATACTTGATTTTCCAGTCACCCCAATCTCAATGGGCTAAGGTGTCCTCTTGATGGCTGTTATTGTGAAGTGACATTGAGTTGGTTTCAAGTCATAGTGACCCTGTATAGGGTTTCTGAGGAGCGGCTGGTGAGCTTGAACTGCTGGCCTTGCAGTCCAGCACATTAATTAACCCACAGGACCACACCAGGACTCCTCTCTTGATGGTATTATGACATTATTGTATGTAGACTTGGGTTGAGTTTTCACTTTCGGTTATATAGATCTTCCAAGCTGTGCTACACTATTTTAATTATTGTGGCTTTATAAGATGTTATGATTTCTGTTAGAACAATGAAGAAATGGATATTTAAATTGTCTTATATTTTTATTTAAAAGAATATCAAGCTCTCTCATTTATTCAAATCTGTTCTTGGTAAAATATTCCTTTGTGAATTCTTAAATATTTTCCTTCTATATAACCCACTGCCATTGAGTTGAATCTAACTCAAAGCCACTCTATATGGGTTTTTAAGGCTGTGAATCTTTATGGGCACAGCCAGCCTCATCTTTCTCCAACAGAGCAGCTGATGGGTTTGAACCTGTAGCCCTGCAGTTAGTAGCCCAGCCTAACCCACAGTGCCACCAGGGATCCTTTTTTTTTTTTTTTTTGCTATGTATGGGTCGGAACCGACTCGACGGCACTTACAACAACAACAACAACAAGGTTCCTATACATTTATTGCCCAACCTCAACCTACTGCTGTCACGTCGATTCCAACTCACAGCGACTCTCTAGGGCAGAGCAGACCTGCTCCCTCGGGTTGCCAAGGCTGCAAGTCTTTACAGAAGCAGACTGCCACATCTTTCTTTCGTAGGGTGAAAGAAAGTAGTAGCCGAGCTTTCAGCTAGTAGCCAAGCACTTAACCACTGAGGCACCAAACTAAAAAAAAATTTTTTTTTAAATTAAAAATAAGTTCACCGCCATCAAGTTGATTCCAACTTACAGAAAAATCCCTGTATAGGGTTTCCGAGGTTGTAAATCTTTACAGGAGAGCAGAAAGCCTCATCTTTCCCCCACTGAGAGCTGGTGGGTTTGAACTGCTAATCTTGTGGTTAGCAGACCAGTGCTTATCCACAGTGCCACCAGTGCTCCTTAAATTTATTAGTGAGCATTTTATATTGTTTAAGATACAGATCCAAACAAGAACACAACATATACAAACTTGTTCACTGAAGCGCTGAACATTCTAGTGAGCAGGAGCAGGCTGCAAACACCACAGTGGAATGACAACGCTGTGGTCCAGCTTCATAGATGAACGCTAGTACGGACCATTGTAAAGACTTAAAATAGAATTATATGTACGTCATAAAACTATTTTAAGAAGTTGGATCTCTGCAAAACAATGTCTGTGCTAACTCTAAGCATGATTTTCAGAATCAACATGTGGAAACCAGGGTGGGGTTTTTTCCTTATTGCTTTTCTTTGTTTTCTAGTTTTCCTTAACAAACAAGCACAATGAAACAATGGGGCAGCCTTGCTTTTCTGGGTCTCAACAGTTTTCCACCTCTGACAGGGTGTAACTTAACACGTTTCGAGGCTTATTTGCGTTTTCCTTCTCTGATGGTTCTGATTTCTACGGGTTTTACTATATTGTTTTTCTAATTTAAAAAAAAAGTATGAAACTAAGCATAAGTTAAATAAGTGTAAAGTGTAAAAAAAATTGCTACAATTTAATGTTCCAAAGAGTACCTTTTTTTTCATTAGGTAAACAATTCAAGTTTAGAAGAGATTAGGAAAAGCTGAACTTGACTGAGGACTTGACTATTTGTGGAGCTCAGATTCATGAAAATGTGATAAAAGTTCCAGGTTCCTCTGCCCAGAAAAGCACACACTGACTCAACATGACCAGTACTTTATGTGGCATTTCTGTGGCTCAGGTTGGGGACCTGACTGCAACACTGTGGATGTCCCATACAGTGTGCTCTGAACCTAGGACTCCAACAAGCTGACAAAGTGAATACTGAAAGCTACATCAGTGGAGGAGGAAGAGGCTCAGAAGTTACTAGACCCACTTATTCCAATGGTCATTAATGACCCTTTTCCAGGGCCAATCCCATGCATGGTGGAATTTTAAATATCACAGAGCTCTAGCTCTGTCCACCAATCTAAGCCACTGGCCCTTGAATTGTATTTGAAAACTAAACAAGCAGAAAAAATCAAAGTATCCTCGGAGGGAAGCCGACAGGCGAATCAAAAGGAGATCCAAAAGAAGTTGTTGAATAATTCTGTTAGTTCTCCCTTTGCTCCTCTGCTGCTAAAGAGAGGAACTCAGCACTGAATCAATGCGTAGTCTAAAATGAACTAGACAATACTGGCAAAAATCACTACTATCTGCCCAGTGCTTTAGGCTTCTTCTTCTGATCCTTATTGCTAGTTCTCAGGGAGGAAGCAGAGTAGGATGAAGACACCGAGGCTTAGGAAGGTTAGACAACCATGTGGCTGGCTGCAGGAGGAGCCCTGGTGGTGCAGTGTATTAAACACTGGCTGGTTAACTGAACTACTGCTCCAGGGAAGAAAGGTGAGGCAGTCAGTTCCCGTGGAGATTTCCAGTCTCAGAAACCCTTTGGGGCAGTTCTACTCTGTTCTGTAGGGGCGCTATGAGTCAGAGCCAACTCGATGGCAGTGGGTTGTTGTTGTTGTTGTTGTTGTTTTTAGCACCTGGAGAGGATCTCAGTTCCGTCCAGGAGAGTAGACTGTGGTGTTGGAGTTCAGTGCCACAAGTCAATTTCAACGCATAGTGTCCCCCTGCCACAGAGCCGAACTGCTCCCTAGGTTTTCTACCCTGCCATCTCTCCAGCAGGAGATTGCCAAGTTTTCTCTCTAGTGCAGCTGCTGGGTGGGTTTGAACTGTCAATCTTTTGGTTAGAAATCGAGCTCTTAACACTGTGCCACCAGAGCCCCTTCTGAAACATGGATGGGGAAAGCGCCCCGTAAACTCTGACACCTGCCTGACGAAAGGTCAGGGCATCCCCAAACATTCCAGTTCCTCCCTACTATCCCAGAGGATTAGTATTCAAGCCCGTTTATCTTGTTGTTAAGTCCCATCGAGTTGGTTCTGACTCATACCAACCCTTTATAGGATTTACGAGGAGCAACTGGTAAGTTTGAACCACCAACCTTTCTGTTCAAACCAGCCTTGTGATTCACTGCTTCTCCTAGAGCGCCACACCAGGATTCCTTATTTTGGATGGTGGGTTCAATTCCCAAGTAGGAAAAAGGGGACTGTCCCCTCTTCACCAGTTAACACACACCTAGCTAGCCCCTGGAAGCTATGGACAGCCTCACCTTGTAAGGAAGTCTGAGATTCTGGGTCTGCATACTCCCCCAACAGCTTCACAGAACCATTGTCCTTCCCTGAGTACACGGACAGGGTATCTAAGTTGTCCTCAAGCACCTCACTGGGCATGTCAGGGGCCGGCAGACTGGGGTCCAGGCCTAGACCACTCAGGCCGGCGTAGAGTAGGTCTCGGGTGTTGGGGCCCAGGTCCCGGTTGAGGGTGTCACTGCAGTTGAGGCCCTGGCTCTCTGAGAAGGAAGGGAGGTGCATCTCGGGTGGAACGGGGCCCTCGTCTCCAAGGCTGTATTGCTCCATGGTTTTCCACTGCCTGGTCTTGCCTCTAGTTGGTCGTGAACTCCTAGAAACAAAGAGGAATCAAAATAAAAACATGGCAATGTGAGTGGTGGGCACCCATATCAGGTGGTAGAGCATGGACCTGGGACTCAAACCAGCCTGTATCTGAGTCTGTTCTCTGTCACTTAAAAGCCATGTGACCTGGTGCTAGTCACCCCTCTCCTTCATCATCTCCCAATAATAAAAACAAGCTAGTAACTACCCTTGTGAGGTCCTTGTGAGGCGCAAATGGTTTTGTGCTATGCTATCAATCAAGAGGCTAGCAGTTTGAATACAGAAGAAAGGGCTGGCAATCTGCTACAGAAAAGATCACATCCAAGAAAACACTCTGGGGCAGTTCTGCCTGTATACACTGAGTTACCATGAATTGGAATCAACTCGATGGCAACAGACTTGTTTAGTTGTTTAAATAACTGTCAGATTTATTGAACACTTTCTGTGTCAGCTATGCTAACTTGTGAGTTACATGCATTGACTCACTCTTCACAGCAACCTGACGGTAGGTTCTACTATTACTTTCATTTCACAAATGAGGAAAGAGAGACGCTAAGCAATTTATTCAAGGTCACATACCTAGCAAGTAGTTAAGGTAGGTCTTAAACCCAGATATATGTGTGCTTGTGTACGTATGTATATATATACACATATATATGATATATAGGCAGCTTCAAAAAATTAGTGGAAAAGTGAAATTAAAAGACAAATGTAATTTTTCCAGGAATTTTTTTGAAGGTCCCTGTGTTTGTGTATACACAAAGGGGCGTCACAAAGTTCATGGATAATTTCCATTCTTTTAATCCCATTTTTCCACGAAGTTTTTGAAACCCCTATGTGGTGTGGCAGAGTCGGAGTGTGGCACTGTAGGATAAGCATTGGACCACATGGTCGGTTTGAACTGCAAGGTCAGCGGTTCAAACTCACTAGCAACTCCTCAGAACTCTTATACAGGGTTACTATGAGTCAGAACTGACTCGACAGCACTTAACGACAATAACAACATACACATATATACATGCTGTTGCTATATATATATTGTGTGAGTGAAAATATACACAACAAAATGCAAACCCACATATTTTGACCTTGAAGCCTGTACCTTTCCCCACTATATGACATTTATCTTTCTAAACTAAACTGCACACCACTGATGTTGTTGCTGTTGTTAGCTACCGTTGAGTCAGCCCCAACTCGTGGTTGACCCCATGCACAATGAATAGAAACACTGTACAGTCCTGTGCCATCCCCATGATCAATTACAGATTGGACAGTTATCATCCATAGGGTTTCCACTGGCTGCGTTTTGGAAGTCAATTGCCAGGCCTTTCTTCCTAGTGTTAGTGCAGAAAAAGTCCAGTGAAACCTTTTCAGCATCACAGCAACACACAAGCTTCCAATGACAGACACATGGTAGCTGCATGAGCGCTGCGTTGGTTGGGACTTAAAGCAGAGTCTCCCCTCAGGGAAGGAGAAAATCCTACCACTAAACCACCAAAGAAGTGCTGGTGTGGCGCTGCAGGATAATGCACTGGACTGCAAAGTCAGTTTGAACCGCAAGGTCAGAGGTCCCAGCTCACCAGCCACACCTCAGAAACCCTATACAGGGTCGCTGAGTTAGAATCAACTCGATGGCAGTTAGCAACAACAACAACAACAAACCACCAGATAGCCCATAACTCTATTACTTTACTTCCATTAAACTAGAAAACACAAAGGGGGCTGGAGGCGGGCAGAGGGAGCAAACAGAGTACCTCCCACTTCTTTGTTGTTGTTGAGAGCCATTGAGCCTGTTTTGACTCATAGTGACCCTGTATAGGGTTTCCAAGTGTGGTTGGTGAGCTTGGACTTCCGACCTTGTGGTTACAAGTCCAGTGCTTATCCTACAGTATGACACCAGGGCTCCCCACTTCCTTTGTTGTTGTTGTTAAGTGCCGTCAAGTTGGTTCCAACCCATAGCGACCCTGTATAGGGTTTCCGAGGAGTGACTGGTGAGCTTGAACCACTGACCTTGCAGGCTGGCACATTAACCCACAGCACCACACCAGGACTCCCCACTTCCTTTATCAGATGCCAAATCATCTAATTCCCAACCGACTCCCACAGTCCATAGTACAAACTGCTGGATGACCACCTCCCAGAGGGAAGTCCAAAGGCCAGATTTTGATACTTAATGTGCCTTCCCAGATAGTAAAGCAAACCTCCTGGGCCAATATTGAACTTAACTCATGTTCTGTCAACAAGTTCCACATCTATGGCGTTTAGCACCTTCTATGTACAGGTGTAAGGAGCTCTGGTAGAGTAGTGGTTATAAATCGGGCTGCTAACCTCAAGGTCGGCAGTTCGAAACTACCAGCTGTTCTGTGGGAGAAAGATGAGGCTTTCTACTCTTGTAAAGATTTACAGCCTTAGAAGCCCTGTGCAGGGCCACTGAGTCGGAACCGACTCCACAGTACTTAACAACAACAACAACATGTACAGGTGTGGCACTGTGGGTTAATACAGCAGACTGCAAAGTCATTTGAATTACAAGGTTGGTGCTTCAAGCTCACCAGCTGTTCCTCGGAAACCCTATACAGGGACACTATGGTTCGGAATTGACTCGACAGCACTTAACAACATGTACAGAGCAAAGGCGCTCTGGTAGCGTAGTGGCATAGTGGTTATGTGTTGGCCTGCTAACCTCGAGGTCAGCAGTTTGAAACTACCAGCTGTTCCACTGGAGAAAGATGAGGTTTTCTGCTCCTATAAATGTTTACAGCCTCGGAAACCCTGTACAGGGTCGCTGAGTCAGAACCGACTCCACGCCACACTACCACCACCACATACACAAAGCAAAGGAACCCTGGTGGAGCCATGATTAAGTGTTCCTCTGCTAACCAAACAGTAGGTGGTTCAAATCTACCAGCCGCTCCACAAGAGACAGGGAGGCGGCAGTTTACTTTCCTAAAGACAAAAAAAACAAAACCTACTACCATTGAGTTAATTCTGACTCCTTGTTGTTGTTGTCAGGTGCCATCGAGTCGGAACCGACTCACAGCGACCCCATGCACAGCAGAATGAAACAATGTTCGATCCTGGGCCAACCTCACTACCACTGCCACACCCGAGTCCATCAATGATGCCACCTGGCTGATCCATCTCATTGGGGGTCTTCCTCTTCTTCTCTGACCCTCCACCCTACCCAGCATGACATCCTTCTCCAATGATTGTTTCCTCCGGACAGTATGTCCAAAGTTGGAGAGACGAAGCTTAGCCATTCTGGCCTCCAACGAACACTCTGGCTGCACCTCTTCCAAAACTGATCTATTGGTTCTTTTGGCAGTCCATGGCACTTTCAGTATTCTCCTCCAACACCACAACTCAAAGGCATCAATTCTTCTACGATCCTCCTTATTCACTGTCCAGCTTTCGCATCCATATGAGGCTATTCTGACTCCTAGCAACCCTGTATACAGTTCCCAGGGCTATAAATCTTTGAGAGCAGAAAGCCTCATCCAGAGACTCAGCAGCTGGTTTGAACTGCTGACCTTGCAGTTAGCAGTCCAGTGCTTACCCTATAGCACCCCACCAGGATTCCCTGAAGACTAGAGCCCTGGAAACACTACAGGACAGTTCTACTCTGTCCTGTAGAGTTGCTATGAGTCAAAATTGACTCAAGGGTAACAGGGTTAGGGTGGGGTTTTTTGTTGTTTAATCCCTCTTTACTCAATTCTACCAAATCAAATCCTTCAAAATCAGGAAGCAGGCTTGATTCCAGCCTTTTTTGTAGAGGATACTCCCAACACAACAAAGTCTGAGAGCATTTCTCCCTCCTCTGAACTCAGAGAAGTACTTATTTGACCATCTGTGTGGCACTTATTCTAAATGGCCTTGGAACTTAATTATCCTCCAGGCTCTTTCATTTCCCCCAGACTATAAATTCCAGAAGAACAAACAAATCCATGTTGGAAGAAGTACAGCCAGTATGCTTCTTATAAGCCAGCACAGCAAGACTATCTCTCATATTTGAGACATGTTTTCAGAAGAGGTCAGTCCCTGGAGACGGAGATCATGCTTGGTAGAGTGGAGGGTCAAAGAGGAAGAGCCTCAAGAAGGATTGGCACAGTGGCAGCAACAGTGGGCTCAAGCCTCACAATTGTGAGCATGGCGTGAGACTCAGCAGTGTTTCATTATGTTGTTCTCAGGGTCACTATGAGTTGGAAACGACTGGACAGCACCTAACAGCTGACAGCACCTAATAATAATAATATATTCCAGGAAGGAGCCCTGGTGGTGCAATCAGTTAAGGTTGGGCTGCTAACCACAGGTAAGTGGTTCAAACCCACTAGCCGCTCTATGGGAGAAAGAAGAGGCTGTCCACTCCCATAAAGAGTTATAGTCTCGGCTGAGTCTGAATCAGCTCGACAGCAGTGGGTTTCGGGGGTTTCATAAGTTCCATGAAGGAAGCCTGGTGGCCAGAATGGTTGAGTGTGCTTAACCCTAAGGTCAGCGGTTACTAACCCAGCAGCCACTCCTTGGGAGAAATATGTGTCAGTTGACTTCCACAAAGGTGACAGCTTTGGAAAGCCTACGGGTCCGTTCTTCCCTGTCCTAGAGGATCACTATGAGTCAGAATCGACTGGATGACAATTGGGTCTGTTTTGGTTTTCTTTTTTAAAATACACTCCAGCGTGGCTGGAGCTGTTTTATGTGTTTAGTCTTCTCACAGCTTCGTACCTAGCATAGAACTTTGATCACAGAAGCCTCACAGCATCCCTTTCATTGAGGAATGACAGGATTCCATTCTGCCACCTCTTTTTCTGCCTGAAAAGCCCCAGTCTGCCAGCCTTTTTTAAAAAAACAAAAACAAAAAAATTGCTGTATGTGCTGTTCATCTTTCCTTCTCAGCATCCAGGTTTACAGAGAGAGAGGTGATCAAGTCTGAGTGGTATCAGGCTGTTGGGAACTAGAGGAGAGTGGAGATA